CCAGTGGCTGGAGGAGCCGCTGCCGGGGCAGCATCCATTTAGCTCCTCCGCCGGCGCCACCGAGGCGCAGGGATGCGCGAGAGATTCCCGGGGAATGCGCCTAAGCCCTAAAACCCCGCCAGTTACACGTGGCAAAATCCAAAACACCCATGACGACATGTATGGGAAATCCATGCGCGGGACCCAAAACGGGAAACGAGGCTTGTTTTTGATCGAATTCCGTGGTTTGCTTCAATGCCATTGTCACCGTGATCAGCGATGCTTGAATGATCAGTGACTGTGTAGTGGAATGTGATTATTTCGGCATATGAAGATAGCAAAGAAGCTATTCGATAGGATGGAACGAGATTCTCACTGATCAATCCAGACTCGACGATCGTTATGCAGAGATCTTGATGGAGCACGAAACTTCTTTGCGAGGACGACACCATGTCATGAGCAACACTTCTCAACTCATTTGCGCAGCATGGCTACACTATTCTAGCAAAAGAAGCATTTACAAGGATGTGATCATTCAATGACCGTTTTTCTAACAGAGACAATACTCGACAAGGAAAGAAGAGAAAGAACGAAAACGAGAAAAGAGAAAAGATCGAGATCAACAATTTCGGGGAGGAATTGGAATAGGATGTAGGTAGTTTTCTTCCGTGAGCTTCGCATCTCAGTAAGTTCTTCACTAAATTACCACTTTGTTCTATGTAAAGTTCTTCGCTATGTTTTTCTTCTGTCATCTTCACAAGATTTCTTGCAAGGTTTTTAAAGTTCTATAATGCTACATTCTGGCTCGTAAGAAATCCTGTTCTTGGAGCTCCTCCTTGGAGGACTCTTTTTTGTCATAGAAAATTCCATCTCCTTCTTGGCGTTGGATCTCAAGTAGCTCTCCTGGCTCACCAGCGAGTAGTGAGATGAGGAGGAGCTCTTGTTCCTCAGAGCCCACTGCCTCAGCCTGTAGCAATCGTTCCAGCAATCGAGCTCTACCTTTGTCTTGCGTGGAACTATTCGATCGTCGTCACCCCACGATGGCCGAGCTTGCTGGTCTCCGTGATCCCAACTCCCTTCCTCTCGCCACAACTTGTATACTCCTGCGCTCGCTACGTGTTTCCTGGCTTGGAGGATCATAGCAGCGAGGAGCTGGCCCTGCGGCTGTTGCTTCTTCCACCTTTTCATTCCCCGGCATCGGTGTTTAAGTTGGAGAGGATGGGAGCACATCCCGGATCGAGCTCGCTGTTATTCTTCTTTGCCGCTTGGTCCGCTCGATCCTTGTTTGTTGTGTGCGTCTTGCAAGCCGAAAGCAGCGTCCTCCAGGCCCGGTTTGGAGCAGCTCATCGGCCCTGTCGAACCGTCCCAGCAAGCTGATCAATCACAGACCTGGTGATCCAGCTCCACCAGCTTGTAGTCCTCAAGCATCGTGTAAAGGTACTACCGCGACTCCTCCATGAAGCTGCCGAGAACAAGTGGACAAACGTCACGGCCCCGGGGCTCATGCCGTGTGCCAGCATCTCCCAGAAGAGCTCCACGGCTTTCTTTGCGCACATATCCAGCGATCATCGCAGTCCACGCGACGTCGCCCTTGAAAACCATGTCCCTGTCGGCGGTTTCCAGGCCTCCGCAGCTGGCGTACATGTCGACCAGGGCGGTCGTGAGCACTGCATCGTCTTCCAGACCACCACTCTTTAGAAGTTCCTGGTAGAGGAGCTTGCCTTGCACTGGAGCTGGAATGCTCGAGCAGGCACTCCATCTGTGTGCAGTGACGCCATCCAGCTGCATTCCCGCGAAGAGCGACAGAGTCATCTCCAGTCCCCGGCTTGGGTGTGAGCCGAGACGAAGAATGGAACAAGAGAATCATGAAAGCCTGGACAAGCACGGAAGGCCCATGGATTAGTGGCCTCGAAAGCGGAGGTTTGCGGAGCGAGACGCTGCTTGCGGTGTGGAAACCGCGGTTGGCTTGGGAAGCTACACAGGTTTCATGGGCTCCAGGGGGGACGTGATAACTTCGTCGTGGAAGACCGTCCTACACAAGGTATTCAAACATGGTCTTTTCTTCGTTTTCGTTTCATCACTCTCTTTCTCTTTGTATTCCAGTGCATGAGGTGTAGACTGCATCTCTTGATTTTGATGCAGAGATCTTGATGGAGCACGAAAGTTCACTTTGCGAGGACGATGCTCCGATCAATCTTTTTGATTCAATGACCGTTTTTTTAACAAAGACATTACTCAACAAAGAACAAACGAAAAAAGCGAAAAGCTCAAGATCAACAATTTCTGGGAGGAATTGGAATATGACAGGTGTCACGTAGCTATATTTCTTCCTTGAGCTTTGAAGAAGTTTGACTACGCTTGACTTGACCTGAGCCGTAGAAACGGGCGGTTGGATTCCATTGCTGATGGCAGATCAACCTGACTTGGATGGCGTCCAAGATCACTCTCTCTAAGCAAATCTATAGACTTATATATATCACATTATTTTTATTATAGGGTTTATCTGTCTGTCATCCTTGGTCATCTCAACCTAAACCATTGCAGGAGGACTCCAAAAGATGGCATTCTCCAGGTATAAGGATTAGAAAGTTTTACTGCAGCTTGATCTTCTATAGTGTTGGAGCACCAACACAAGCTATTCATCTCTTCCTTGAATTTATCTTTACTCACTTCATAAATACCATGAGGATATTGAAATCTGTACCACAAACCTGATTCACTGCATTTAAAAGTAACATTGTGATTTCTAAAGTCAATAGTTGCTGAGTGCTTGTCAAGCCAATCTTTCCCAAGAAATATACTATCAGAGGAGTCTTTAAGAACATCAAATGTTCTTCTTTCAAAAAACTTTCCCAAGTTATAAGCTAAATTCTCAACTCCATAACCTTCCTCCAATTGATCAGCTGCAATTGGCCTGATTCCAAAATACTTGTGACTGTGAACTGTAGGGAGTCCAAGTTTCTTGACAAGATCAAGTGATATAGCTGATGCGTCACAACCATTATCTATTACGATTTTGATTTCGTAGTCATTGATTCTGCCAGGGTAATACAGATCATAAAACATATTACATATATGTTGATTTATCCTTCTAAACCTTTTTGACCGAGATAAGTTATTGTCACCAGTAAGACAATATACAATACCATCTATCTCAAATGTTATTGTACTTTTACTATCATTGCAATTTAATTGTAGGCAATGTTGATGTATCCATGGTGAACCCAGCATTATATCGCTGCTATGTGAAACAAGTGGTAATGCAGTGAAAGTTTCTTTGAATTCACAACCCTGTATTGTAAATTTAAAATCCTTAACTTGCCAATTTATATCCACTGTGATATTGAGTTCTTCCACTAATTTTCGTGAGATAGCATTACAGTAACAACCAACATCCCACATAACTTCAATCTTCCTTTCAGCCTCAAGTTTTCCAACCAACTGTCCAAAAGCTATTGCCATGTAACCCTAGAAATGTTTTGCAGAATAAACCCTTTTATATTGATCCTATTTAAAAGAAATCCCTTTAAGAATATCCTTATTTAGCCGTGGTCTGGATCGGGTTGACTACAAAGCTATTCTCCTCGTCACATGGTCAATGTAGCAATTCCTGGCACCTGGATTCACTGAGAAGTTGTCGCTACTTTACAAGGGGTTTAGAGCTTGCTCCTTGGTCATAAGATACATAGATCCTGCTAGATGAGTTTGCAGCAGATTCGACACACGGCAGCAGCATCTGTGAATGCCAAGTTCTTGGAGCCCTGGATGGAAGCGAAGGTATGGAGATCTCTCGCGAACCGTGGATGTCAACACATCAGTGTCGAGAGCCTCTGTGTATCTTCTCAAAGGGTGCGTACAGGAGAATAATCTAGCACAAATTCGCGGCAATCCTTCGCAGCCGCCTCCAGTGTTCGCCCTGCTGCACACAGATCGAGTGCTCTCACTGCCTGCTCGATCATTCCTGCACCAGTGCAAGGCAAGCTCCTCTACCAGGAACTTCTGGAGAGCGGTGGCCTGGAAGACGATGCAGTGCTCACGACCGCATTGCTCGACGTGTACGCCAGCTACGGAGGCCTGGAAACTGCCGAGAGGTTGTTCTGGGACATGGTTTTCAAGGACGAAGTCACGTGGACTGCGATGATCGCTGGATATGTGCGCAACGATCTAGAAAGCCGTGGAGCTCTTCTGGGAGATGCTGGCAAACGGCTTGAGCCCCGGGGGCCGTGACGTTTGTCCACTTGTTCTCGTCGGAGTCGCGGTGGTACCTTTATATGATGCTCGAGGACTACAAGCTGGTGCAGGAGCTGGATCACCAGGTCTGTGATTGATCGGCTTGCTGGGACGGCTCAACAGGGCCGATGAGCTGATCCAAACCGGGCCTGGAGGACGCTGCTTTCGGCTTGCAAGACGCACAACAAGAAGGATCGAGCGGACCGAGCGGCAAAGAAGAATAACAGCAAGCTCGATCCGGGATGTCGCTCTCATCCTCTCCAACTTAAACGCCGATGCTGGGGAATGCAAAGGCGGAAGAAGCAACAGCTGCAGGGCCAGCTCCTCGTTGCTATGATCCTCCAAGCCAGGAAACACGTAGTGAGCTTAGGACTACACAAGTTGTGGCGAGAGGGAGGGAGTTGGGATCACGGAGACCAGCAAGCTCGGCTGTCGCGCGGTGATGATGATAGAACGCAAGACAAGGGTGGAGCTCGATTGTTGGGACGATTACTACAAGCTGAGGCAGCGAGCTCTGAGGAACAAGAGCTCCTCCTCGTCTCACTACTCGCTGGTGAGCCAGAGAAGCTCAGCGAAGTCTGGAGCAACTAAGCCTTTCGTTTTGGTCGTATTCCTTTGAGACAGTGATTTGTCGTCAGAAAACGGCAACATCCACAAACCGGAACTGAAAGTTCTAAGCATGATTCGAGCTGCACCCTATCAAAACGAAGTAAAAGTCAATGACGTTGCGAAGTCCCAAAACAGCTTTAACGAACCTCTGAAATTGGTTAATCCAACCGTCACCCCAGAAAGAACGCCTTTCAGAGCATCTGGAGCTCCTAGAAAAGGAGCACCTGCAAGAGATAGCATTGCTGCTAAGAAAGTTCACAATCCGCCAATCTCACCTAGAGCATGATACGTGAAAATGTGATCGTCGATCCAAGTGGTGTACAGTTTGGGCGGTACTTCTTGTTTCAACCATTCCAGAAAATATCTGAACACATTATTCCCAAGAGAATGCGCGAAAACGAGGGCCGTCACTCGTTTTCGCGCATACTCTTGGCCCCCCTCGCAGCTTCCGAAGCGTCTCGAAAGTTAGCCTGGAATGAGAGATCAGAAAAACAAGAGGTGATTCTGTTTGAGAAGGCAAAACCTCAGCCTGTGGAAGTACAGATCTCGTTCGAGGAGAACTGGACCCGCCAATCTCGTAGGGTGCGTCAACGCCGAACTCTACACACCACGAAACCCACTCCTTCCATACAGCCTGATTAACAAAACGAATAGAGAAAAAAAAGCCAGCTTGGATACCTGTGAAATATCGGAAATTTTTTCAAACGAAACTCACCAGAGCTACTTGTTTATGCTGTTGTCTCAGCTCCTAGACCATGATCCTCAAAGGTTTGAAACCCAACTTCCTTTCCCGATCCTGCTGGTGCAAAGCTCTGTTCGAGATCGCAGCTGTCAGTGCTCAAATGGAAGCATTCCTGAAAGCTCCTGAAAAAAAAATTTAAAAAATCCAGTGAGCTGAAATCGAGGGGCGAGAAGGGACAATACCATGATCTCGTGCAGCCATTTATCAATCCCTGAGTGCCAGAGATCTGTTGCAGATGTCATTCTAGGACCTTGCAAAACGGAGTTCTTCTTTGTCATAGCATCAGAGTAGTAAAAAACGCAAAAGAAGCTATAGTCGAAGCTTCTCGACGGCTGAAACTTCCCACGACCAAAACACGGAAAGATTAGCAAAAACAGTCAAAATGAATCAAACGGAAGCTCACTGTTTGCCAAGTCATTCTTCCCGTGTTTAATTCTGGCGGAACTTGTTGAAGTGACACCTGACAGAAATCTTCGTTAGAAGAAACTGCAAACTTTCCTCACACGATGCTCACTGGTTTGCATCCCTGCTACTTATTTGATGGGAGTGAGCCTCCTTCTCCTTCCCATGCTTGCACAGCCGCGTGAGAATGATGTTGTATTGGCTAGAACTTCCGCCTTCTTCATGTGTTCCAGGAGTGCCAGAGCCTGCCTGCCTCGTCTCGCCATCCTCGCAGTAGCCGCGGACGATGGTCGAGTACGTGACAGCATTCGCCTGGAACGAGCTCGGCTTGCTGTGGGCGATGAGCATCTGGTGCGCGCGCTTGTACTGCCGCTTGTTCACCAAGAACTCGAGAAGCCGGTTAAAGGCAAATGCCGTGTGCGTGTAGCCATGGCGGCCGTGGCACCAGTCGAAGAACTGGATCGTCGCCTCCACGTCCCTGGCATGGTTGAGCACATCCACCACGATGTCCGTGCTGAGCTTGCCGCAGTAGTCGCGGAGCTTGCGCTCGCGCACCTCCTCCATCTCTGTCTCGAGGATGTCCAGGAGCTCCTGTGCCTCGGCCGAGATCGCCAGTGGCCTAAACCTCGCCACTGCCGGAGGGCTTGTCCGCGATCCCTGGCTTGAAGGAGAGCTCCTCCAGCTTGATCTTTCCTGCTCCTCGATCGCCGCTTCCGCGCCCTGGCACTGGATTATGATCGATTCCCGCCATGGGGCTTGATTGAGCCGCATTCCCATCGTCGATTCGCTGCCGCAAGGCCGCGCTGGAATCGATCGTCCGGGAGAAGGAACAACTCACCGATTGGCACAGCGCGATGCCGGCTCGTTGCCTCACGGCGGCCTCCAATGAAACAAGCTAGAGAATTATGCATGCATTCGACTTGATCGGCTGCAGCGGCTTTGGCTCCGGCTCCAGCTCCAGCTCCGGCTCTGGATCGTGCTGCTGCTGCTGAGGAGGAGGAGGAGGAGGAGGAGGAGGATCATCCTTCTGGAAGAAGAAAACAAGAAGCAATGATTCAACGCAAAGAAAGTGAAATTCTTCTACCGGCTTGGGGGATCCCCCGATCAGCGACTGCCGCTTCTCCTTGGTGAAGCTGATCTGCTGTGGACCGTCCTTCGGCGTTCTCCTCTTGCCCTCTTTCTTGTTCTCCTTCTCCACCATCGCGCTCCTCTCGTTGCTTTCCCGCCCAGCCAGGGAAAGAAAAGAATATACCTTTTTTTTTTCAAACCTAATCAAATGCTTTATTTTGACCTTAATCTGGATAAAAGTAAACTCTAGTCTAATAAGATCACTACGTCCCGCCTGGAGCCCATGAAACCTGCGTAGCTTCCCAAGCCAACCGCGGTTTCCACACCGCAAGCAGCGTCTCGCTCTGCAAACCTCCGCTTTCGAGGCCACAAATCCATGGGCCTTTCGTGCTTGTCCAGGCTTTCCAGTCTCTCGGACCAAGGTCCACCGGACATGATTCTCTTGTTCCATTCTTCCGCGATGAGGAATCCCGCAGCATCGGCTCCACGAGGACGAGGCAAATTCTGCAAACAACCATGAGCTCGTAAGAGACCAACCATTTGTTTTTTTTTTTCTTCCCCTAGTACCTGCATGTGTCGGCCAAGAGAAGCTTCGACAATCTCGGGGACCTCCGAGAACTGTCCATCAATGTAATGTAGTCTAAAGCTCGGGTTGCTTGCTCCAACGGGGAACTTTGGGAACGGATGAGCAAGCGGCGCTGTTCTCTTGCATAGATCTAACAACAAGAGAAATAAATATTTCACCTGCAGTTAAAGCTGGTGAGCTTCTGGAAATGAAAACAAAAAGAAATGCGCAGACCTCGTCGGCTGTATAGCCTTGACCAGCATTTCCACTTCCCAGTCTCAAAGGACGTGTATGAACTGGCTCCTCCTTGGTTTCCTGAATAAGAATTCGGCTGAGAAGACATCAAAAAACTGTCGCCATACCTGGTTGGTGGTGTTGTCGTTGTTGGTGCTGGAGGTGCTGCTGGTGTCGGAACTGGTGCTGGTGTTCGTGCTACTGGTGCTGGTGCTGGTGCTGATGCTCAGTTTTTTTCCAGCTGATCACGGAACGAACGCAAGCTTTGCTTTGAGCCACGCTTCATGTTGACGATGGCGTCTCGGTCAAGTTTCCGGGAATGGATTGCTCAGGCAGCAGCTCGCGGGGAGGGACAGTCCTGTTCTTTGTGCGCTCATCCCTTTTCCCACGCTATAAAGCATCGATTCCGGTGAGCGTCGAGAGAAGCACTAAGTACGCAAATATCCTTGTGGAACTCCTGTAAAGAGCTCCGAGTCCTGTAAAGGATGGTGGAGGAAACTCACGGGAGGACCTGTCCCGCGAGGAGGGGGCGCTGCCTGGGCAAAATCACAGCTCTATCAAATCAAAAACTAGAATACAATGACTAACACACTTCTTACGCTCGTGTCATAGATAGATTTCGCTGGCGGTCCGCCGTTTCCTTCTTCTTGCCGCCCCCTGCTCCACTGATATTGTCCTGTCATTCCGTGCAGCTCTCATAAACTTCATCCATGTCGCAGCTAAACTTGAAGAACCTGCTTCTTAAACTCGAAGACGTCGAAGCCTCTCCGCTCCTGTGTCCAAAAGCCTTTCAAGTAGAAGAATATCAAAGCGAAAGAAAGATTACTGGCTTTGTGATTGAAAACTGGTTCATGATGTCTTGTCCTCTTTTGCTGCGACTCCAGCAGCGCTTGGAGACGATTCATTGGAAGGAGCCGGAGGCTGGGAAGGCCTTCTTCTCTCGTGACAGAGCTTGAAACATCAAGCACATCCGTCGTCGTTGGCGATTAAGATGCTGACCAGACCATACTGATACGAACTCCAGCCGGATGTGACATACGTAAACGATGTCTTGCATGACGCCCAAGTGGTCCTTGATCCTCACACAGCCGAATGTGTTGAGACGCGCCAAACTACGAGCGTGAGCAATCTAGCCGCGAACAACATGAGTGTTGCACCACCGAGTCACAGCAGCTTTGGCCGCGGGAGCGTCAGCACCAGATTTCCACAGTTGAGCTTGAGGCAAAGATCTCGAGTTTGCATCGTCAGGGCGCAAAAGCGGGATATATGCTCTCCAAGTTCTGGAAGAAAAAGCATTCAGTCAACACACGTATACGACAATTCAGGCAAAGTAACATAAGCACTTGTGTACATACCAGCGGCAAGTTGAGACAAGATGCTATGCTGACAGGCACACGGCTGGAACAAACATTACCATGGAAAATCCAGAAAAGAGAAAAGATCCAACCACACCGCACCTGGGGATCATCCTCCGCCCGCACCACCGAGATGCGCGAGAGATTCCCGGGGAATGCGCCTAAGCCCTAAAACCCCGCCAGTTACACGTGGCAAAATCCAAAACACCCTATGGGAAATCCAAAACGGGAAACGAGGCTTGTTTTTATCAAACTCCGTGGTTTGCTTCAATGCCATTGTCACCGTGATCAGCGATGCTTGAATGATCAGTGACTGTGTAGTGGAATGTGATTATTTCGGCATATGAAGATTTTCTCGAAGCAAAGAAGCTATTCAATAGGATAGAACGAGATTCGCACTGATCAATCCAGGCTCGACGATCGTTGTGCAGAGATCTTGATGGAGCACGAAACTTCTTTGCGAGGACGACACCATGTCATGAGCAACACTTCTCAACTCATTTGCGCAGGATGGCTACACTATTCTAGCAAAAAAAGCATTTACAAGGATGTCATACTGCGATCATTCAATGCCCGTTTTTCTAACAGAGACAATACTCGACAAGGAAAGAAGAGAAAGAACGAAAACGAGAAAAGAGAAAAGCTCGAGATCAACAATTTCGGGGAGGAATTGGAATAGGATGTAGGTATTTCTCTTCCGTGAGCTTCGCATCTTAGTAAGTTCTTCACTAAATTACCACTTTGTTCTATGTAAAGTTCTTCGCTATGTTTTTCTTCTGTGATCTTCACAAGATTTCTTGCAAGGTTTTTAAAGTTCTATAATGCTACATTCTGGCTCGTAAGAAATCCTGTTCTTGGAGCTCCTCCTTGGAGGACTCTTTTTTGTCATAGAAAATTCCATCTCCTTCTTGGCGTTGGATCTCAAGTAGCTCTCCTGGCTCACCAGCGAGTAGTGAGATGAGGAGGAGCTCTTGTTCCTCAGAGCCCACTGCCTCAGCCTGTAGCAATCGTTCCAGCAATCGAGCTCTACCTTTGTCTTGCGTGGAACTATTCGATCGTCGTCACCCCACGATGGCCGAGCTTGCTGGTCTCCGTGATCCCAACTCCCTTCCTCTCGCCACAACTTGTATACTCCTGCGCTCGCTACGTGTTTCCTGGCTTGGAGGATCATAGCAGCGAGGAGCTGGCCCTGCGGCTGTTGCTTCTTCCACCTTTTCATTCCCCGGCATCGGTGTTTAAGTTGGAGAGGATGGGAGCACATCCCGGATCGAGCTCGCTGTTATTCTTCTTTGCCGCTTGGTCCGCTCGATCCTTGTTTGTTGTGTGCGTCTTGCAAGCCGAAAGCAGCGTCCTCCAGGCCCGGTTTGGAGCAGCTCATCGGCCCTGTCGAGCCGTCCCAGCAAGCCGATCAATCACAGACCTGGTGATCCAGCTCCGGCACCAGCTTGTAGTCCTCAAGCATCGTGTAAAGGTACGACCGCGACTCCTCCATGAAGCTGCCGAGAACAAGTGGAGAAACGTCACGGCCCCGGGGATCATGCCGTGTGCCAGCACCTCCCAGAAGAGCTCCACGGCTTTCTTTGCGCACATATCCAGCGATCATCGCAGTCCACGAGACGTCGCCCTTGAAAACCATGTCCCTGTCGGCGGTTTCCAGGCCTCCGCAGCTGGCATACATGTCACTCCAGTGCAAGGCAAGCTCCTCTACCAGGAACTTCTAAAGAGTGGTGGTCTGGAAGAGGATGCAGTGCTCACGACCGCACTGGAGCTGGAATGCTCGAGCAGGCACTCCATCTGTGTGCAGTGACGCCATCCAGCTGCATTCCCGCGAAGAGCGACAGAGTCATCTCCAGTCCCCGGCTTGGGTGTGAGCCGAGACGAAGAATGGAACAAGAGAATCATGTCCGGTGAAAGCCTGGACAAGCACGGAAGGCCCATGGATTAGTGGCCTCGAAAGCGGAGGTTTGCGGAGCGAGACGCTGCTTGCGGTGTGGAAACCGCGGTTGGCTTGGGAAGCTACACAGGTTTCATGGGCTCCAAGGGGGACGTGATAACTTCGTCGTGGAAGACCGTCCTACACAAGGTATTCAAACATGGTCTTTTCTTCGTTTTCGTTTTCATCACTCTCTTTCTCTTTGTATTCCAGTGCATGAGGTGTAAACTGCATCTCTTGATTTTGATGCAGAGATCTTGATGGAGCACAAAAGTTCACTTTGCAAGGACGATGCTCCGATCAATCTTTTTTATTCAATGACCGTTTTTTTAACAAAGACATTACTCAACAAAGAACAAACGAAAAAAGCGAAAAGCTCAAGATCAACAATTTCTGGGAGGAATTAGAATATGACAGGTGTCACGTAGCTATATTTCTTCCTTGAGCTTTGAAGAAGTTTGACTACGCTTGACTTGACCTGAGCCGTTAGAAACGGGCGGTTGGATTCCATTGCTGATGGCAGATCAACCTGACTTGGATGGCGTCCAAGATCACTCTCTCTAAGCAAATCTATAGACTTATATATATCACATTATTTTTATTATAGGGTTTATCTGTCTGTCATCCTTGGTCATCTCAACCTAAACCATTGCAGGAGGACTCCAAAAGATGGCATTCTCCAGGTATAGGGATTAGAAAGTTTTACTGCAGCTTGATCTTCTATAGTGTTGGAGCACCAACACAAGCTATTCATCTCTTCCTTGAATTTATCTTTACTCACTTCATAAATACCATGAGGATATTGAAATCTGTACCACAAACCTGATTCACTGCATTTAAAAGTAACATTGTGATTTCTAAAGTCAATAATTGCTGAGTGCTTGTCAAGCCAATCTTTCCCAAGAAATATACTATCAGAGGAGTCTTTAAGAACATCAAATGTTCTTCTTTCAAAAAACTTTCCCAAGTTATAAGCTAAATTCTCAACTCCATAACCTCCTCCAATTGATCAGCTGCAATTGGCCTGATTCCAAAATACTTGTGACTGTGAATTGTAGGGAGTCCAAGTTTCTTGACAAGATCAAGTGATATAGCTGATGTGTCACAACCATTATCTATTACGATTTTGATTTCGTAGTCATTGATTCTCCCAGGGTAATACAGATCATAAAACGTATTACATATATGTTGATTTATCCTTCTAAACCTTCTTGGCCGAGATAAGTTATTGTCACCAATAAGACAATATACAATACCATCTATCTCAAATGTTATTGTACTTTTACTATCATTGCAATTTAATTGTAGGCAATGTTGATGTATCCATGGTGAACCCAATATTATATCACTGCTATGTGAAACAAGTGGTAATGCAGTGAAAGTTTCTTTGAATTTACAACCCTGTACTGTGAATTTAAAATCCTTAACTTGCCAATTTATATCCACTGTGATATTGAGTTCTTCCACTAATTTTCGTGAGATAGCATTACAGTAACAACCAACATCCCACATAACTTCAATCTTCCTTTCAGCCTCAAGTTTTGCAACCAACTGTCCAAAAGCTATTGCCATGTAACCCTAGAAATGTTTTGCAGAATAAACCCTTTTATATTGATCCTAAATCCCTTTAAGAATATTCTTATTTAGCCGTGGTCAACAATGTGCCGTACAACCTCCTGGATCGGGTTGACTACAAAGCTATTCTCCTCATCACATGGTCAATGTAGCAATTCCTGGCACCTGGATTCACTGAGAAGTTGTCGCTACTTTACAAGGGGTTTAGAGCTTGCTCCTTGGTCATGAGATACATAGATCCTGCTAGATGAGTTTGCAGTGGATTCGACACACGGCAGCAACATCTATGAATGCCAAGTTCTTGGAGCCCTGGATGGAAGCGAAGGTATGGAGATCTCTTGCGAACCGTGGATGTCAACACATTAATGTCAAGAGCCTTTGTGTATCTTCTCAAATGGTGCATACAAGAGAATAATTTAGCACAAATTTGCCGCGTGCACAGCTTTGTTTCCGCAAGGCATCCCGGCTGCGCTGAATACCAGTTTGTGCGAAACACGATACTACAGGCAAACTTGATCAGTTTGCAGGCATCTGGAATAGAGATCTCTTCTTGTGGTCGTAGCTTCTGCGCAGAATAAGCATTTTGTCGAGGCGTTGTTGCTGTTGACACGGATGGAGCTGGATCGAGTAAAGACATCTCTGATGACTTGCATCACTATTGATTTCTCTGCTTCGTTCTTGCTTGCTCTAGTGAGAAAGATCTTCCAGAAGTAATCGAGACAATGGACATCCAAGAGATCACGTTCTTGCTTGCCATCTTTTCAAAAATTTCCCAAACACCCTCTAGTCTCCCAAGCTCGGTGTTCAGGAGCAAGTGGCACAAGGGTTCGTTGGAAGCAAGCTCACTCTCTTCGATCAGTCTGTGAGTGGCAATTTCTTTTGGAACATCTTTCTCACCAAAGCAAGCAAGAACAAGCAGAAAAAAGCAACAGTGATGCAAGTTACTTTACTCGATCCGTGTAAACAACAATAACGCCTCAGCAAACTGTCCATTCTGCACAGAAGCTGCGGCCACGAGAATAGATCTTTGTTCCAAATGCCCACAAACACCTTATGTGCTAGATCATATGCCTGTAGTATCGTGTTTCCCACGAACTGGTCTTCAGCGCAGCTAGGATGCCTCGCGGAAACAAAACTGTGCACGCAACGAACTTGTGTAAATTATTCTCTTGTATGCACCACTTGAGAAGAGACACAAAGGCTCTCGACACTGCCGTGTTGCATCCACAGCTCCTCTCCATACCTTCGCTTCCATCCAGGTCTCCAAGAACTTGGCATTCACCAATGCTGCTGCGGTGTATTAAAGAAGCTGCCCTGGATATGGAGCTAGATTTCTCGATCAAAGGAAAAGAATGGTTTGGCTTTCTCCAAGTCCAGGATATCATCAAAACAATACATGGCAAAGAAGAACCTCGTACAAGATAGTTGTACAGGTGAGAACTCTTCTTTTGTCGTGTAATACTTCCACTCGTACTTGGAGCCAGGCTTCACTTCCAAGAGTTGGCAGACTTGTGTGATGTTGCACTTCAAAGTATCAACTCCCTGGAGCCAAGAGCTTCGATTTTCTTACGTTTAAGGTTTAAGGTACTAAATTTGTTATCCCAGTTACTAAGCTTGTGGAATCTATCTCAGTGCTTCATGCTCGAGAGGAAGAGATATGGCGATGGATGGTGTGGCTCGATCCCAAACTCCTCGTTTGCAGCCGTGTAAGCTCCCAGCTCCACATCACCGTGAGTCCTGCAAGCGCCCAGCATGGAGCAGCACGCCGCTGGATCCGGCACGAACGGCATGTTTCTCAGCAAGTCGTGAGCTTCTCTCAGCTGCCCCACTCTCGCGAGAAGATCCACTAGGCTGCTGAAGTGCTCCACGAACGGATCAATCCCGAGCTCTGCCACCATCATCACAAAGTAGCTCACTCCTTCCTGGATTAGGCCCAAGTGATTGCACGCTGACAAGACCCCCAGCATCGTGATCTCGTCGCACTTGATCCCCTCGAGCAGCATCTCACCGAAGTGCTCCAGTGCCAGTCGCTCCTGCCGGTTTCCAGCACACCCGAGGATCATGATGCTCCAGGACGCTAAATCTCTATCGGGGATCCTCGCGAAGAGTTTGTGTGCTTGATCAAGATACCCGCACTGGACGTAAGCTACGAGCGTCGAGTTGCATGACGACATGTTGCATTGCGGCACCCGATCAAAGAGTATCACAACTTTCTCCAGAAGCCCACTCTCGGCACTTGCCTGAATCAATGCGTTCCATGAAACCACGTCTCTCTCGGCCATGACATCAAACAGTTGTTTCGCTTTGTCGAGTAAGCTGGCGCGGGCATATGCCAAGAGCATAATTGTCCATGAAAACTTACACTGTAGAGGCATCTTTGCAAGGATCTCTTCCGCAAGCTCAAGGCTTTCTTCCAAGGCATATGCGTTGAGAACGGTGTTCCAGATTGTATTATCTCGTTCTTGCATGCCATCAAACAAGACTTTAGCTTGACTAGACCCAGCGTGTTGCGTGAGAGCTTGCAACATTACGCAAAACGTAACCTTGTTATGCTGAGGCATCTTGTAGAAGGAACCCTTTGCATTGGCAAGATGCCTAGACTCGGTATATGCTGTGATCATCGTTGTCCACGACACAACGCTCCTCTGTGGCATGGAATCGAAAAGTTGGCGAGCCATTGGGGTTCTTCCCGATCGGGTGTAAGCCGAGAGAACCGCATTCCACGAGACAACGTCGTGCTGTGGCATCCGCGAGAAAGCAGCCGCGGCATCTTGGGTCTTTCCGCTGGAAACGAAGGCTGTGATGAGCAAGTTCCAGCTGAAGATAGTGGTGGAAGCTCCAAGCTTGTCGAAGACGTCGCGAGCGTCCGCGGGGCTGCCATGGCGGCCATACATCGCGATCAAGAGATTGTTGAGGTAAGAGTCGCGGGAGAGATCGGTGCGCTTGATCCCGGCGTGGAGGCATCGGCCCTCCTCCAAGTTCTTGCAATTTTGGACGAGCCTCGCGAGAGCATTCACTGTGGCCCTGTGCATAAATTTCCATTCCAAAGGAAAGACTCACAACTCGAAACGGAAACCTCTCAGCTATACAAATTGGAGCTCCAATGAGCCATCTAATAACAGAGAGATGTTATAATAGTCACTGCAATCATAGAAATGGAGACACGACGGGAATGCGATGAAGGCGGAGGTGGTGGAGATGGCGGCGGAGGGGACGGTGGCGGGGGTGATGGTGGCGGCGGAGAAGGAGGAGGAGGTGGAGATGGCGGCGGAGGCGACGGTGGCGGGGGTGATGGTGGCGGTGGAGAAGGAGGAGGAGGCGGTGATGGTGGCGGAGGGGAAGGTGGGGGTGGTGACGGTGGTGGAGGTGATGGTGGAGGTGGGGATGGTGTTGGAGGTGGTGGAGATGGTGGTGGGGGTGATGGCGGAGGAGGTGAAGGCGGAGGTGGGGACGGTGTTGGAGGTGGTGGAGATGGTGGTGGGGGTGATGGCGGAGGAGGTGAAGGCGGAGGTGGGGACGGTGTTGGAGGTGGTGGAGATGGTGGCGGAGGTGATGGCGGAGGTGGGGACTGTGTTGGGGGTGGTGACAGTGGTGGGGGTGATGGTGGAGGTGGGGACCGTGCTGGTGGTGGTGATGGCGATGGAGGACGTCGTGGTGGTGGTGGTGCAGCGCAGCCTCCCCAGTAGCTAATCCTTGCCCAGCATTGCCAGAGAACCAAACCTGTTGGGAACGCACAGCAGCGTTGCTCGTTGAGTGCGCAGTCTATGAGTTCTAGAGCTCCATTGACACTCTGGAAAATCGGGAAGAGAAGGAAGCCCACACAGCAGAGGATGAGCAGAGTGCTAGGGCGCACCATGCTCCAGAATCCCCCAGAGCTGCGCAAGCCGGGACCTATATGGTGGCAATTCCCCTAGAACGATAACTTGCTACAAGCTCTTGGTCTATCCCTCCAAGTTCCAAAGCTTGGCCCCCCCCCCCCCCCTCTCTCTCTCACCGTCCTCACCGTCTCTGTGCTTCGACTTTCGTGTCTCTCCCACGAAGCGCCACTAAGTATATACTGCTGCCTCGTGGCCATCTCATGGTCTCGCGCAGGGTTTTTTAGTCTCGTTGAGCAATCTGAGGACACCTGCAATATATATTTTTTCAAGAGATGTGCCCCCCCAACCAAACTCTCTCCCTATCTGTGAACAAGACTCGCTCGCAAGAAACTCGTGCGTAAAAGTCTCAGCCTAAAGATGACTTTTATATCAATTTAACGTATGCTCTATTACCTTTATATCATTTTTTCTATTTTTCTATAACCATTAGATCCACCTATAAAATGAATACTCATCTTCTTTGTGGTCTTGTTTGTGCCACCCAACAAGGTAGAACAGTAGAACTTGTCACCACCCTTGTCACCATCACTGCCTCGTCACCATCACCACCACATCTCCACCCTCACCTCCTCCACCATCACCACCTCCGCCACCATCACCGCCACCACCTTCACCACCGCCGCCCTATTGTTATAACTATAGGTGTTGTTTACAAGGCGGCCGTTCCAAAATTTCTCTTCTTAGGCCTAGTTCCAAAGCTTTCTTCCTTTTCGGCCCAAGGCCGCCTTTCTTGCTTCCAATCCACGCTCCAGCGCGGTAGAATCTCTTCCGGGCTTGCTCATCCTCTTCTTGTCACGATCGAGGCGCGCATTTTGAGGTGGGATCTAGCTAGGGTTTTGTCCCGGGAAGAGGCTCGTCGATGATTGGGAGCTAGAATCTCGTCTGCGCCATGGCCGGCTCCTTCTGGGGCTCGAATGTAGGTGTTCCTTCTTGCATTCCCTTGCGCTAAGCTTCCTATTCCTCCTATCAGCTGCCAAACATGCTCGAAAGCGAAGAGTGCAGTCTCGAGGAGATTCTCAACGAGGATGATGTGCTCCAGAGCTGCTACCGCAACCAAGATCTCATGAAATTGTGAGCTCTCTTTCTTCGATTCTCGTTTCGATTTTCTCTTTTCTTGTGGTGGAGTGAGCGAGTGACCATTGTTTGTTTGTGCGTGTGTGTAGCCTCCAGAACAAGGATCGGATGAAGAAAATGATCTCGTACGCCATCGTAGTGCCAGTTCACGACGACGAGAAATCTTACAAGTAAGAATAGAGGAGTTGACAGTTCAGTGGAGACACTGGCTTGGCTGAAGAACTGTTCTATGGTTGCAGTGGCAGCAGTATCTGAAACACACAGGAGGTGAGAGGATAACAGCAAGAGGCAAATAGTGTGTTCACCTGTGTCAGAGAAAGAGTGTGGCCTGATTTTGAGATAGCCTGTCCGTGGCAACCAATTAGCTGTGTATTCCCTGCATTCACTGACAGGTCTTAGGTCATGAAAGTGTTATTTATTTCCCCTTAACTAGAAAGAAAATGATGAGAGACTTTACCTTTTTTTGTGATGCTAAATTTATTTGCATTCGCTCAAAACTAAATCAATATGTATTTCTTAAAGGGTTTTGGCCAAGTCCACTAACCCAAGCTTATTTTTGTTTACTGTTAAATATTTAAGGTTTAATCCGCAGGATCTTAGGTTAGGCAGGATTTGATCAGCTACTCCTTGATCCTTCCACCGCCTCTTCACGAGGGTTGCGTGTGCGTCCCGGCTCAACGAAAGCGCTTCAGAGCACCATAAGCGGCTACTTGCTCAACAATCTCTAGTCCACATTGAAGCTTTGCTTGGTAGAACCGGCCAGTCTTCTTTGTTTTTCCTGCTTTGTTTGTTTGGTCGGAGCTGCTGTTTGTTTGGTCGAACTGTTGTGTGCTTGAACTGCTGCTGCTGTTTGTTTGGTCGAACTGCTACTGCTGCTGCTGCCGCATTCTTAGTTTGTTTTACAGTCCCTGAAGCTCCTCACCGTGAAGTAACGACAGTGTTCTCGCTGAAGAGCAAATAGAGGACGAGTATGAAATGCCTCAGGAGGAGGCGGAGGAAGAAGAGATGTTGAGTGAGGGAGCAATGCGACATTGGAAATGGATGAGGCTGTGGACGCTGATGACACGCAAAGGAAGAAATCGTATGCTTCAATTGTGAGTAGAAACAATTGGGGTGTGATTTTCTTTTGTTGCTGATTTTCTTGAGAGGCCTTGCAGCTGGTTGAGCAACTCCAGCACCTCTCAACACTGTCGCCTGCTGCTGGTGGTAAGCCCGTTTCGTCTGCAGCGCAAGCAAACTCATTGCCTTCTCCAGCTCTTCCTCCTCCCAGTGGTAGAAGAAGCTACCGCGCCATCAGACGTTGAAGCCTCGAAGGTAACTTACTGCTGATGATTCGCAGCCGGAGACGAAATGCGGTGTGTTATGACCATCACTGCTCCCCTGCTTGATGAAGGTTTTCAGAGGTTGGAGCTGTCAAGCCAATGTGAAAAAGGTAATGAGGTTGATCGTGTCTGGGGTTTGTGGATTAACTAGTGGTTAAATTGAAAATAGTAAATTGAATATAGATATATATAGATATATATGTTTTTTAAATCAAAATTTCTCTGTATGGTTTATTTATTTGATTTATGGTGGGGACTTAACACGGGCAGACTATCTTCTGTGCAAAACTCGCACTTCCGAAAGGGTTGCTTTTTGCGTCAAGCTTGTAGAAAAAAACCATATACAACGCATGGGGCATTTCGCGCTTCATTCCCTAATGGCTGATGTTGTGGTTGCCACGAAAACGATCATCTGCTCCAGCATGCCAGGGGGCACGTTCATGGACGCTGTATCCAGGGTACTTGTATTGTTGTACTCTCAGTGTTCCACAATAGAAGACTTTGATCGGATCTGGTGGCTTGCTTCTTTGTTTGTCGAAGTAATACCATCTCACTCTTACGTCAAGCTGGTATTGCATATGTTATGCAAGGAGTAACAGATCGTCAGCGTACAACATGAGGTAGAGATACATACCTGCTACCTGAATCTCTGATAGTTGTTTTCCTTCCATAGTGTCGATGTAAATGCCGAAGAGAGTTGGTGGACAACATTTCTTGACTCCTGTGTCAGATGATTGGTTCACATTGCTAGGATGTCACTATGCAGAGTTCTGATAGTGAGCCCATTCTCACTGAATCTTAGCCCATCTTAACTTATTTTAAGTTAAGATGGCATTATGTTTTGCACTTTCTCTAAGCCAACTAAAACACTTAAGAATAAAGTAAAATCGATTCAAATAAGATCCTAACCTAAAACAATTTTTTAAGATCATAAATTAGGATTTGCTTTAAAGCTTCAGGCTTAATGTTAAGCTTTAACACTCTTCACCTTTTCCTCACCAGACCTGGGCACCCATTATGCATAGCTATCATTGATGTTCAGTAATGCACCACTTGTTCACTAGTTAAGCTAACTACTATTCAGGGTGTTGATATCAAAGTTCAAGAAATGCAATGAAAGGCCATCAGACAGCATTTGGTATTCTGGTAATGGTACAAGAGCCATCCCTATTATGACTTTAGGTGACTAAATTCCAAGCCCGCCAGCTGGTTTCGGCGATCCACTAGCGTACGAGAATGACTTTGTGGGACTAACCTTCAGACGATGTCATTCTATATATGTGCTCTGTGACACTGAGGAGAGAAGCTGTAGAGGAGCCGCAAAGGAGCTGTGGAGGAGCTCGTAGAGAAGCTGGAGAGGAGCTCTGAGTGCGGTACTATGGAGGTTTTAGAGTCTGTTCATCTGGGCAACGAGGATCATTCTTTTGGAGAGGCTTTGAGATTGTACACGGATCCATATCCTGCACCTGGCTTTGGCTTGGTTGAGATTTGAGCTGGTGATTGAGTAGTGTAGGACGACTTTGAACAAATTAGAGAGGAGACATGTGGAGCCTGGCTCTGCATGTTTGCTCTTCAATTGTTCATTGTTGGGGATGCCTGAGGTTCTTATGTCTTTTCTATTGTTGGTTTGTATTTATAAATTGTGGACAATTGCTGAAGTTCTCGGGCACCGAGCTCAGGTTCAGAGCCTCTCAGTTCCTCTATGGTGAGTTCATAGCCTAGGGTTGTTCATAGGAATTTGCAGGCACCAGCGGAGAGGGGCTCACCCCAAGTTAACACACAACCTCCTCCCGAACACGACATCACCCCAAGTGAGTGCAGACAAAGTTCACGGGCGCATCTGACTTTCTTCTCCAGCCGCCCGTAGCTCCTCCCACGCAAGAAACCGGCCTCTCACTTTTCAACTTCATTTGCTGAGCAACATTAATATGCAACGGCCAAATATAAAGATAACTGTACATATAACAAAGCATATCAAGTGATACTATTGAACTTCAAAGGTATGACCAGGAATCGCTGTTCAAAATCAGCTGCGGCCGGCTCCTACATCCACGTCCTCAACTGGAAGATTGAAGACTTCCCCTGGAAGTCAGGGCTCGGGATATCAGAATTCACAGAGTTTAACCTTAGACTATGCATAACAGGGCATAGAACAACGACTTCCATATCAACTATTCTCCACATGGCATCCGACCACTCCTGGCAGATCATGCGGATTTGGGGGCATTACTTCCTGTATACGGATCTCACAAAACTTCCGCCGTTTACAAACAATTCCTCATGCTAAAACTCCGAGGAAAACAGGAAGATGACATTGTGATAGTATGCTGCTACTTAATCCCACCTGGAGACTTCAATGCACAAACAGGGGACTAACAAGCGCTTTGTCTCACCGGCAGCCTTGGCTGAGAGAAAATTCATGGGTATGATTTCGAATGGGAATAGATCACTGCACAAGACACGTTGCTAGTAGACAAAAACAGTGGCTCAAAGTTCCTGGCCTTCTGCACAGCTGTGCGGCTAATCATCTTGAACAGAACTCCTCGCACACATGTTTCACCTATAATGGAGGCAAGAGCACAAATGAGTTCATTCTAGCACACTTCTCACTAAGGATCCACACATGCGGATTTGCGACAGACACTCCCATTGCGTTCAAAATGTTTGCGGCCAAAGAAGAGCGTTACAGAGTACAGAGATAACATACAATATACATGGATTGCTGAAGCCACACACCAACCACTGCTATACTCCTCGACTAAATTCTCTGCAACAAAGCCATTAAAGTCTGTGGAAAACGACGACCTAGCGAGGCATACGGCTTACCATGTAAAGAATGATGGGACAAGGAATATGATACACTGCAAAAGCAACTCAAACATGCCCTAAAACATTAACCACAGGCAGAAAACTTCTCCAAAGTGGTCAAGGCAAAATGCAGACAGTATGAATTGCAAACGAACCTCCAACTGGCGAAAGACATGAAATACCACCTGGATCATCCCTACAGTATCTTCAAGAAATAGACACCCCCGGTGAATCTAAGAAGTTGAGAGCTAGCACAGCTATCTGAGCAAACTATATGACCAGCAAACAGCACCACTACCACTGAATCAAGAAAAGACTAAGGCGGCACTTCAACAACTCAAGCGACGTAAATCTCTATACTCCTTTGAACTATCAAGTTACAACCGAGATACTCTATGCTGCCGACACTGACTTCCTTCAGGATTTCCTTCAACTGTCGCTTTAAGAGATGGACTCCACAAGTTTAATGGAAGCTCAACAAAGTCGTAGCAATCTTCAAAAGAGGGGAAAGGCTCCAACACTTTATTTAAACTCGAGCTCCTGGCTAGTATGATTGAGAAGTAACTCACAAGCTGGCCTGAGATGAACGCCATACGAACCCGGGGACAAGGGCTCATTCGAAAGTGTTTCGACTGCGAGGCAAGCTTGTTCCTTGCCAATTAATTGATCATCTTTCGTTTCCTTGTCCAGCAGATGTTCACATTTGGCTCTGTACCACTGAAAACTTATCTCACCGATTCATCTGGTAACTTTGAGAGTAATAGGAGAATGCATGCGACTCCAACGTTAGGGGTGCCAAATGGGGCTTGAATGTTATTTCCTAACGTACTTTCAGGTAAAGAACATGCAGGGGTGTTATCCATTTTTGGTCCCTAATCACTTTGTATTTTTTGCATTGTGCTTTTTAGTATCATGTTCTTTCTGAAATTGTGCATATAAAAGGAAATGTTACCTCATATAAAAAAACGTTTCCCTTTATTGCTGCCTGCAATTACTGAAATACATTTTTGATTAATGAATTTTTAAATACAGTAGTTATATAAATTTACAATAGTTAAGTTCGTCCAAAAGTCTCTGTTAGGTCGGAATCGGCAACACAACACAGAGGGAATTCTCATAGCCAATTGGCCTTAACCATCAGGCACAGGAAATTCTCATCCTGCAGGGAATCGTGGTGGATGTTACATCGGAATTGTAGATCTTATGCCGTACAGAGGGAATTCTCATAACCAATTGGCCCTTTTCCTGATGGGAGTATGGGAGCGGTGATGGGCTCCACACACCTCCGGAAGTCCGCTGGCTTCAGCCCCCGATATGCAATAGTCATACACTGAGTGTGAGATGTATACATGGCTTACCCCACCATGATACATGGGCATGCATGGAATGTGTATGGGCACATAGTCTACACGATAGGATGTCAAGGGACATGATTCTGGTCACACACGAATCACGTGATTCGTGTGTGACCAGAGTGTCGTGGTGGATGTTACAAAATCGTAGATCTTGTGTAGCACAGAGGGAATTCTTATAACCAATTGGTCCTTTTCCCTGATGGTTAAGGGGAGAATAAATAAGTGCGTTACAGTCTCAGAACTTGAATTAGATCAACAAAACGCCAAGAAGAAATCCCGAGGAAAAGAAAACAATTTACCTACGCATCAATGCCTCTGTGTGTCTATGTACATTGGGCCAACAGTATCGTTTGCATTCAATACTATGGAATCATATATCTTGTACAACACAGAGGGAATTCTCATAACTAATTGGTTCTTTTCCTAGTGGTTAAGTGGAGAATAAATAAATGCATAACATAGGATGCATGTAATGTGAGGATGTAGTATCACACGATAAGTTGTTAAAGTTCGTGTGTGACCAGAGTGTCCACGAGCGTGTGTTAAAGCAGGGAACGTGATTGGTGTTACAACGGAATCGTAGATCTTGTTAAGATGTTCCAAGTAGATATAACTACTTATGACATGGCAATTTTATGCCACCTGGCAAAACTAATAATTACTACTAAAACCTCACTACCAGCCTATTAAAGTCTTTTGGGTAGAGTTTAGGAAGTGCAGCTCTTGTAGCTGAACGCTATCAGATTGGAAATTTCAGTGCCATGATGCAAATTGCCTCATTAAGAATACACAGAATTGGCTCCTCACAAAGCAAGATGAACAATCAACCACTTTGTACAGGAAAAATGTTACTTCTTTCAACTTGAATGAAACAGCAGTTGGTAGAGTGAGTTGGATTATACTGATATCTCAGCTAGGAATTTAAATACAGCATTTAAAGCATATAGCTCAATGAGCACAAAACAAAAGTCGAGGAGGAAACAATTCGTGCATGGTTTTTGTTTAGACACAAACAAATTCGAATTTAACTTGGGCCTCCGACTCAGAAAAGTGCTTGATTAAAAAAATCAA